TGCAGTCTATTTGAAGAATCTACGAGGTGGACAAAACCACAGTTTTCATCCCAACTCACCAGCAACGTTAACGTTCAAATACAAGAGCTGTCTCTCCAGTACAGGTAAATTTCTCCCTAATCACAAATAGGTTAACGCGGTAACACATAACTTATGTGGCTTGATTAGATACATGGTACTAACAGTCTGTATTTAAAATACTGTACCTTACAACATATTGTCATTTAAAACAATAATTTTTAAGAATATTTATTTTTTGATACATGACTACGAAGGAGGGGTAAGGCCTAACAAGTTTGATGTATTCTGTATACATGTAAATTGGATCTTATTTTATAATAATAGGGCAACGTTGTAATTTTAATTGTGTTTGATCAATTGTATTAGGATTGTGCAAATCAAGAAGAGGAAGACATACAGAGAAAGACTGACAAAGGAACCTTAATGCTCATTTTGAAATGCTAAGTATAAAAAATCAATATTTATGGTGTATTTGTGGTCCCATCGTATACTAAAATATCATTTTACTTTTAAATCACTTAAACGGTTTCAGAATATGATTTAAAAATTGATTTTCCACAAATGCAGAATTCCCTTTGACACTTAAGATACATTTAATCTCTAATTTGATAGAACACAGTAAAAATTGATTTAATTATTTAGCCTTTGAGGGTTTTATGTTCAACGTTTACCACAAATGGGTATTTTCTGGCTCACTTCAATAAATATTCGACGTATTTGCTATTACCATCATATTTTACCTCAGCTCCTAAACACTAATTAAAATCTTCAGATGAAGCGGAATACACTAAAAAAAGAAAAGGAAACATTTGGTCATTGAAAGTAGATTTTGCTACCCATGAATCATTATGGAGTGACCGAGGGATGGGGATTACAGGTGTAACATGAAAATCTAACTCCCATGAAAATCTGACTCCTCCCATGAAAATTTGACTCCACCTCCACAAAACTTCATAAATCTTATTTTAATTTGAGTATATGACTGTGATCTTGTAGTGAGTAAAATGGAGGATACATTGGCACTTTTTTGTAGTTTGCATGTGAAGTTTTTCATTAAAAAATAAGAAAATTAAAAATGTGCACATAATGAAAATCTGACTCCCCCATGAAAATTTGACTCCTCCTCCACAAAACTTCATAAATCTTATTTTATTTTGAGTATGTGACTGTGATCTTGTAGTATGTAAAATGGAGGACATATCAGCACATTTTTTGTAGTTTGCAGGTGAAAATTTTCATTAAAAATTAATAATGTGCACTTAACCGCCCATTGCCTCCCCTATGAAAAAGCTATATATTTAATATTTGATAATCATTTCAACACCATCCTTAATTTTTACTATATGAAAATTATATTGGAAATATTTAAAAGTTTGATGGTAAAATATTGGGTGAAAAAGCAAAAAAAAAAAAAAAACATGAAAAATAAGAAAATTAAAAATGTGCATTTTATTACCCAATGGCGCCCCAATGAAAAAGCTATCTATCTAATATTTGATCATAATTTCAACACCTTTCCTTTTAGGATACTTTATGAAAAATATATTGGAGTGAAAGAAAGAAAAAGAAATCATGAAAATCTTTATTTTTATACCCATGAGATTTGGACTCCCATGAAGAAAAGGACCTATTTTATTGTCACCAATATTCTTTTTTGATATGACACATAACAATTTTCATTTTCATATAGCTTAGTGTGCATAGTTATCATTATACAGGGTATATATACAATGAAAACTTTGTGGAAAATAGTGATATAATGACTGAATATAAAATAATTGTCCTTTTCATGGGTGTAAAAATAAATATTATACTGAATTTCTCACTATTTTTAAATTTCAAACACTTTTTGCAAAACTTTTTACCCACAAAAATTTAAATACTTCCACATATGTTCTCCATAAAGAAAACTAAAAAGTAAAAACATTTAAATGTGTGCTAAATATGAAATAAGTGCTTTTAACTAGGGGGGTCAAAATCTAACGGGTAGAAGAATGCAAATTTATTATCCATTTAAAATCATCAATCCCTATTTTTCATTCAGCTTTGGGAAAAATGGGAAAAACAACAGCAAATATAAAATGGGGCCTTTTCCTAATTGGAACCTATAGGAGTCCAAATCCCATGCATATGAAAATGAAGCTTTTCATTTTTTTCATTTATTTTCACCCAGTATTTTTCCATAAAACTTTTAAATATTTCCAATAATTTTTTTCATAAAGTATCCTAAAAGAAAAGCGGTCAGAATGATAATCAAATATCAAATAAATATCTTTTTCTTAGGGGAGTCATTGGGTGTTAGAATACAAATCCTTAATTTTTCTTATTTTCATGTGTTTTTTTTTTTTTTTTTTTTTTTTTTTTTTTTTTACACTCAGTTTTTTAACCATCAAATTTTCAAGTACTTTCAATAAATTCTTCATAAAGTATCCTCAAAGAAAAGCTGTCCGAATGATCATGAAATATCAAATAAATAGCATTTTCATAGGGGAGTCATTGGGTGTTAGAATATATATCTTTAATTTTTATTTTTAATGTGTTTTTTTATTCACCCAATTTTTTACCATCAAACTTTCAAGTACTTCCAAAATGATCTTCATAAAGTATCCTTAAGGGAAAGATGTTGAAATGGTCATCAAGTGCCAATGTATCCTCCATTTTACATACTACAAGATCACAGTCATATACTCAAAATAAAATAAGATTTATGAAGTTTTGTGGAGGGGGAGTCAAATTTTCACGGGGGAACCAGATTTTCATTATGTGCACATTTTTAATAACCTTTTCTTTTTTTTTTATTTCATGAATATTTTCACCTGCAAACTACAAAAAAGTGTCAATGTATCCTCCAGTATGCATACTATAAGATCATAGTCATTTACTCAAATAAAATTAGATTAATGAATGTTTTTTTTTTTGGGGGGGGGTCACATTTTCATTATGAAAATCTGACTGGGAGTCACATTTTAGGGGAGTCAGATTTTCATGGTACACCTGTACGAGACAAATAAACTAGCAACGCGCGTCTTTGTATAGCTAGCACAAAACCGTGAAACAGCTTGAACAAGCATGGAATTGGTCAGAATTCTAAACAAAAAGGTCCGATTAAGAATAAATTAGAAATTAAAAAAATCTCGAAGCCGGAAAACTTTCATACCGTTGGCTTACGACCAACATGGACGTAGGCCCTCATCAGACAGATGTGAGAAGATGTTACTCACTGACCGCTAGGGGGATCCAGGTTGGACTTTTATCTTAAAAGTTTTTCGGCTGGTGTTTGATATGGTTCATTTATTATGACATTATGAAGTTGCAGAAACTCAGCCTGAGGATACGAATGGTGCAATGGTGCAATTTGGTACGGTTTAGAACTAAGATTCACTCAGTCATGTCATTATGATTTTAAGAGAGGATCATTTTTTTTTTTTTTTTTTTTTTTTTTTAGAAATCAAAGGGGGTCAGGACCCCCCTTGACCCCCTCTAAATCTGCCACTGCATTAGATAAATAAACTTCTCTTCTCTTAGTAACATTACAGTTGTTTCCCAAAAAGGACCAAACGATTTAGAAACACTTTTTACTGCCCACACACGTACCAGTGAACTATGGCTATTCATGAACCTTCAACTTTCAAAAGACTGATGAACAATCTATTTTATTCTTACTATTTTTTACATATTTATTTCAAAGGTTACTTGAATCTAATTCCATTTTAATACTTTATCTCTATATTTCATATACACATTCAAAAATATTACTTCCTCTTAATCATTCTTATCTTTATCTATGAAATGTGATAAAATTTATAGCGTAAATAGGAAAATGTCTAAGCATATAACTCTAACTGAACATATGAATGATAAGATGTCGCGCATGTACAGTGTGGAATATACATGGGCGTAATAAGATTGAAAAATTAAGACTTACTTCACCTAACCACACAAAAATTTCTGCTTAAGACGGCTGAAACCCGCATTAATTAAGCTAGAATGTCTTCAAAAATACTAAATATTTCAAACATTAGGTAAAATCACTGATCAAGAATGCATTTCCGTGTTCTTTGTGGTTTAATTAAGAAAGGCTTCTCGATTTTAGTGGATGGATCGAAGATTTTCTGAAGTCTCCTGAGGGGGGGGGGAGAGGGATAGCAACAAGACATCAGTACTGAAGGATTGTTGATGTTGATTGTTGATGTGAGTGGACGGGGACAAAAAATAAACCCTTGTTTTTTATGGTCCCCTCGTATGATTATTTTTGTCTGATGTCTAAAATTGACATTCAGTTTGCGAATTATAATTCACTGAGCAACATACTTGTAATGTTGTGAGGCAATGAAACTGGTTGACTGAGAAAGAAAAGACGAGAGAATTGGTCTGCTCAAAGGCATTACTTAAGCATAACATGGCGCTGACTGGCAGATTCGAGCACCACTATAACATAAAGCAATTTCGCCCATATCTTAATATTCTGCTCTACATTGGGGTCACAGTTTACAAAGTTTTTCTAATGATCTAAAGTTTCTTTAATGTCTAGAAAATAGTTTTGTGGTAGATAAGCAATTTACAACTACAATGTTTTAAAATGAAACATTTGAACTAGATTCAGGCCCGTAGCTAGCAGTTTCAAAAGAGTGGGTTCGTTTTACTGGAACCATCGTGCACCTTGAAAACAAGTTATGCAGAACGGACCTTATCCAGGCATAAAGGGCATTTTTTCGAACCCCCAACCCGCCCAGGTTTCGGGCCTGAGATTATTTAACTGTCATCGTAGAAGATCTCACCTGCAGCAAAATGACAAAGACCACCGTAGCATGCGTTGAAATTCACTGTAAAAACTAAATAAGAGAGATATTAAATGGACCTTGAGATTCTTCTCTCTCTCTCTCTTAGTTATTTTTATTTGTAAAACCCACAACTCATCTGCATTAACCTACACACCTTAATAGAACGAGCATGCGCACTCTCAGTTTGTCAACGTGGAGAATTGCTACGTGCCCATCTTTAAAAGTTGTATAAATAAGAAGAAAGGGACAAAGAGCGTCGCAGTTGCCATTTCTTCTCGCAGTCTGCAACACATTCGACAAGAAAAGAGATTCTCTTGAAGATGACAAGACAAACAGGCGTGGCCGTGCTTCTGATCATCGCTTTGACGACGGTGACATCCGTTACTGGCGCTGGTCCCATCCCTCTTACTCCGGAGGAAGAGGCGCAAAGAGACGATGCTATGGCTGATATGGCTAACCTTCCAATCGAGCATCAAATGAGACCTGAACTGCCCCCGGGCCCTATACGTAAGTTACAATTTTCACTAAAATTGCAAAAGTGACCGAATATGAAAACGAAGATTTTGTTGGTAAGAATTTCATTCTGCTGCAGCTTTCAACTAATTTGAATAACTAACGCTACTGTATTACAGAGATTATATTATCAAGTGTTATACTTTCAAGTATTTGGTTGAGATTTTAAGTTCTCAAAAGTGTGTTTTACTTAAATTATTAAATCTGTATTTCTTGTAACGAAACAAATCCAACATGTTGCCTATAATTTATATTTAAAGAAAGAAAGAAAGTTAGTCAAAGATAAAATTCTTCAGGAAATCATGACTGTGTACATCAAATGTTTTTGTTTTTTTTTTTTTTTTAGAAACATGACCAATGTTATCTTTTTGCTGTATCACTTAGTTTAATAATATTTCGTGTAAAATTTGACAGATATTACATAAATTGAGAATTTCAGCTCACACATTAATGAAAGAAAACGGTAGACAGTAATATACATCGAAATATGAGACATTGCACAATTAATGTACTGTAGCACAGGTGAATTTTAGGTCATTTTATTCTATATTGACATGTCCTTGTTATTCCGATTTAAGAAAACCGTACATAAAGAGTTATCTGCACTATTAGGTGACACCTTCAGTATACAAATTTGCAGAATTGTCGTCTTCAAACAATGATAAAGAACATAGAAATCTAGGAAGACTGCGATTTCTCACACTTCTTCACAAGGAGGAGTTAGTGAAAGGGGCCAGCAGAGGGTTAGGTGGTACTGTATGACTAATAAGATGACTAGTTTGAAAGATATTGGGTTTACTACTTTCGAACAGCTGTTCAAATCGTGTATCATGCCTATCATGCCTATGGGGGTTTTGGTCACTTCCGGCTATATTGAAAATATACAATTACGAGCTGTTGGGTTTTATATTGGAGTACACAGATTTACACCAATATTAGCACTTTACGGTGAAGTCGGTTGGATGCTACTAGTTTACATTCAATGAATGTTCATAATTAGATACTGGAATAGATCAATAGCCATGGATAACAATAGACTTGCCAAGAGATTGTTTGAGTACTTAGAGCTGACACATGGGGAAATGATCCAATTATACAAGGTGTTATGGAAAAAACAATATCTGGAAAAGCCAACGCTAAGAACATTTTCAAAAAAAAAAAACCTTCAGTTGTGAGTGATATGTTAGGCTGTCTATGGGTAAGACATTAAGATCAGTACTGTGCCAATTTAATAATAATAATAATAATAATAATAATAATAATTTATTCGAGCATTAAATGTGACAGTTACATTTGTTAGCCCTCTATACTACAAATAGATAAATAAATGAATAGGTAGTTACATATCAATATGGATTACTACTTATACAGTGTTAAAAAATACTTATTACAATTGTAAATAGTTCAATACACTGGGAGAACATACATTTTACTTTTGTAGGCTTATAGCTATATGTACCTAATGTGCCATGCTTTTGGTACATATATTATAGCAGGAAGAGGCTACTTCAGTGTGGCGGATGCTCATTTCTTTTCGAAATTGCCCTCTGGATGTATTTACCAACAGCGTGCAATTCTTTCTCATTTTCAGGGCTTAACATGATTTTAACCTTCTCGTCACTGCTTGCTAGGTGATGTATGTCACATTTAGGAAATAGTTTTAACATGCCCTCCCTCTCTTTTACATGGTGTCTACATTCCAGTAGGAAGTGCACTTCATCCTCGATTGCAGGACAGTGGGGACAGAATTTTTCCTCGCATGGTGTTTTAGGTCTGGTGTAGCGTCCTCTTTCCATTTCCAGATTATGATCACTGACTCTAATTTTAGCCACTTCCCTTTTTAATGACTGAGGGGCATTAGTCTGCAGGTACTTTTCAATTTTGTAGGACTTTTTTATGAGACTATAAGTTTTTTAACTTGGTGCTTTGTGGATCAGTTAACTCTTCCCAGAACGTTTTTTCAATTTTAGCATTGATTTCTTCTTCAATATTGTAATGTGTAATCACGTTGACAGGGAAGAGTTATCTAAAACACTAAGAGACTTAATTATAAATAAACCTAAAGGTATGGCAATTTATTTAAAGAACAGTTTGAGTTCAGCTCATGAGTTGAGTGTACCATAAGTTATAGTGTTTACTTAGTTATAATCTTCAACCTTAATCATAGCTTTTTTGTTTTGTTTTGTTTTGTTTTGTTTTGTTTCTAATATATGTACAAAGTTCGGTGACCTGTAGGCCCACGAATCCGGGTGATTTGTATATCTCTATCACATGTCATGTTAATAAATAAATAATATTACTATTCCAAACAACACATTCGGATTGGGTATTTATCCCAGATTTATCTTGTGACTTTGTAAGGTTGAGTAACAGGAAAACTAAGTGAACAACTGGGTAGGTGTAATATTCCTCTTTCCAATCCTCTTAAATCTGTTAAATGCTAGCAAGGGTGGATCCGGGTAGATCTTCTGCAAATTACAGCTTTTTTTTTGTAATATCTTTTTTAATACCGTTGTTAGTGAACGTGAATATGTGTCGCTGTTTTTACATCACTTTTTATACCATCAGTTACAAAGATTTTTAATAAAAAAGTTTACTTCTTTTCAAATTCCTCATTTGATGTATTGTTCCTTGCGAATCAATGAGATCATTTAATAATGACGTTGGACATTTTATGGAGGTACTGGAACGTATCCAAATTAGTGTTCCTTTATCATTCAACTTGCCACTGTCCATTTCAGCGCCAATCCCGGCTTGTGAATGCCATGCACATGGTGATGTCCGCTATGTCACGTGTGATGGGAGAGCCTTCAGATTTAACACTCCGCCCGGAGATGTTGGTATAATGGCAAAGTCTATAGGTGGCTGGCTTTGGTATATAATAACGGAACAAGAATTCTTTGATGACGGTCCGAAGACTCGTCTGACAAAAGTGAAATACCAGATTTTTTCTCACTACGTGATCATTGAGTACAAAGACACTCCAGATCCAAATGGGCTGTACACAATAACTGTAAGTATTCTCTTCCTCTACTCTCTCCATCCTCTGCCCTCTCTCTCTCTGTCTCTCTCTCTCTCAGACCACTTAGTATACTACTTCCAATAGGTAATAACTTGCCTGCGTCCTGTGAACTATTTAGCTACAAAACATTGTGTTCATATATATATATATATATATATATATATATATATATATATATATATGTGGTTGATAATAGACGGTTTCCACTGCATTTTTCTTATTATTATCCAGACAACGGAGGAGGTGGTATTTGTAACTGTTAGTGGGTTTGTTTGATGTTTGTTATTTCGAAATCTTCGACTCAGTTATTTGTCTTGGAAGAGGCTGCGCTCTCTCCATCCTTTACCTCTGACGAGAAGGTTATATTTTTGTTACAATTGTTACTTCGGAATGCCCATATAAGGGATTATCGAAGTATGTTGATAAGCGTTCATGTGTGTGTGCGTGTGTGTGTGTGTGTGTGTGTGTGTGTTGGTTTTCAAGTTTTGAATGTCTATGTGCATTTTCTTGCTCACAGTACTAAATGTATCATTCTGATTGTTTTGTGGATTACTGGTAAATGAACTTGACCACAAATTTTGGGGATGATACGTATAATCCAAAGGCCCACTTATACCAGAAAACGCTGCATAAAATGCAGCGAAATTCCAACTTCCATTACTATCTTGTCATGCATGTGTCAGGAGACGAGTGGATGTTGAAAGTTTGACTCCCGGAATGATAACAAATTTGTCCTTTTTCCCTTTCTTTTTTTAATTATTAAGAGCAAAATCTTATCTTCATTCTTTTTCTATGAATTGATTTATAATTGATCAAGAATAATGATGGCCATAACATTGTTTTCAAATAAGTACATGTGGAGACAAACGGCATTGCTGCATGATTTAAAGGTCCGTGTATAGGGGGAGGGGGCAAAGCCAATAGTGACAACTGTATACCCAGTTTACATCTCAAATGCATACATTTTTGGTAGAATTTTGCTACTGATGTTAAGGGATTCCGAAGTCTGCGCTCAGTTGAGCTGGGTCATCTGGTTTGTTTGTTTGATTGTTTGACTGTGAAGCCCAAAGAAAGTAATAAACAAATTTTGATGAAATACTCAGGATAGATCACAAGTGGCACAAGGACGAAATTATTAGAATTTTGTGATGATCATTCGATGAATAATAATAAATGAATTAACTAACTATGTACAGATTTTCATGAAATTTACAGGATATGTAAGAAATTAACCAATTTCATAAATTTTTAGGAGAGGTCAGAAATGGATAAAGAAAGAAATGAGAATATTTGGATCCATTAATTAATACTAAGTTATTTGTTGTAAAACAGGTTGTGCAATCTGAGTTCTTTTCTAGTTATATATTTCATGCTTATTATTATCATTTTTATTATGGAAAGATAACACTATCGGGATTTTATCATCATTGCAGGTGGAAAATGATATTATACCTGGTCCGCCGCTGTTTGATGATGCTGTAAGCCTTGGTCCTGCTGGGGCGCCTGGTGTTTTGTTCGTGGGGGGCGGTTTTAATATCTCGGTAATTGATGTAGATGGCGATTTGTACATTGAGGTTAGTTGCACGCTCCTGCCACCCGTCCTGTTCGACATTAGGATACGTGTGGCCCGACATTGTCTCCAGATTCACATCCCTCCGATCTGGCAATCCTGGATGGAAGGGATATGTGGAGATTGGAATGGATTTCCTGCAAACGATGTTGTCGCTCTTGTCGGCTTTCCACAGGTTTTACCCGCGCCGGTAATGGGATTCCCTTTCCAACAAACGACGACGATGCCGTAAGTAGATTGTATTTTATCTGGAATATGTGTAAATAAAACACACAAGATTGCTGAAGTTAATATCTCTCTATCTCTATCACACACTCACACACACACACACACACACACATACACACACAAACACACACAGCACCCGACGCCGATGACGTTAGTGGATTGTATTTTACCTTGAATATATATATCTTATACATGTATCCACGAGATTGCTGAAGTAACTTTCTCTCTCTCTCTCTCTCTCTCGCTGCATCTCCCAGGAAACGTTTTTTACTAAAAACGTATTTCGCACCCAACTCATCAGATTTAAAAACATTAATTTTGTGTCCTGATTTTTCAGCCTTTTGCTATTCCTCACATAAATAATTTGTCTCTACCGAAATCATGACAGAAGCCGATAAAACTATAACCTTTGTCTCATTTCTCTTTAAACCAGGATATAACTCTACGATCCATGGCGTTATGACCAAAGAGCGACTACCACCAACTCTGTACAAGCAGTGTCTTCTTTCTCCAGTCACTAATTTTCATGTGGAACACGGGAAGCGCTGGACGCCGTTTTATGTTCCACAACCGTTGACTTAGGTTACTACGGACCATGTCACAAATTGTTCGAAACCTTTTCCAAGGGAATCTTTCTATCTTTTGACTTACCGAATTGAGAACAGTTGATAATTTGATTTTCTCACTTATATTTCTTTGGTGAACGTCCATTTGAGAGTCGAAAATTCACAAAGGAACGGAATCATGGACAATGGAACTGAAATTTGTGGGGGTGCAAGCTACTCTTTCGGTTCTAAGATAACTATTTTTTGTTTTTGATTTTAACATTGATCGAGGTTTTTAATGCCTTGAAATGCAAATTCTTGCATGTGTTTTTTTGTAAAAAGGTTGAATTAAACAGGTGTATGACATTATTTCGAGGATGTAATCAAATTTGGAGAAATCTCCAAACACAAGACTGACATTGACAGAGAAAAAACATTTGGCATTTAAAACAAAGGCAGTGTGTCACAAAAGAAGAACGTACTTCTAGTACTTTAAAAATTTTCAAAAGTTTCGATTGATGAGGCTCACCTGGTGAAGTACAGTGGAAACGTGATTTAAATTGGGTACGATATAGTGACAATAGCTTCAGGTGTTTTAACGTTTTAATTTTTAATTTATATTTCTCTTCAATTCGTTTCGCCGTGCTTGTGGCTTAAAATCGTTATAAAATGGTATCATTGATATCAAATAACTGTAGTTTGTTTTAATTATGTTAAAAGAGGAAAATGGTAAAATCCATTGAAATTTTTATAATTAGTCTAAACTTTTTATATTATAAAGACATCTTCGTTCAAAACAGCCCTACAACATCATGTAAAAACAAGTCCTTTCTCGTACTGGTTCTGTGACTATTTATTTTACACTCAGGCATCATTTTTAATGATAATAATAAATAATTTAAAAGGTTAATACATTAAGTAAATAGCAATGTCTCAAAACGTTTCTTATAATATATGGAGCTTGTTTATGTGCCAAACACATGCCATTCCCTCTGCTAAAATCACCTTCTTCATGAGCTTTATGTATTTTTTGTAATTTATCTGCGTCAATATTTTCCCATGCCTCCTGAATGCCTTTAACATGTTGTTCTTTTGTTCTGGGCGTGACGCGCGTTGTTGTCAAGTTGTCAACGGGAATCAATAGGGAAATACACGCTTAGATGACAGGCTTTGCAAATGTTCTGCACTGTCAATTTAAAATAAATTTCTGTAGGCTGCAAATAACCCACTCCACGTCCTCCGTATATAAACCAGGCTGGGCTTTCAGTACCTCATGACATTGGGAGTACGGCCGCTATCTGTCAACCCCCCCCCCCTCGTTTGCCCTCCTTCTGCATGAATTATACTGGTACAGAAGAACAATGAACACACATATATCAGTTTATTCAAAACCAAATAAATATTGACTTAACTCTCCCTGAAAATTCATTGAAACAGTTGTGTTTAAGAAGTCTTGGCACGAGTTCTGGTATACGCACGGCGGCGGTCAATGCGTTAGATATGCTACACTTGTGGTGGCGGTCATTGCGTATAATGAAACGAAGAAAATACAAACTGAGCATTCATTAACCCTTGATAAAATCGCAGTGCATCCTTACAGCAACAATTAAATTATAATTTTCTTATCAAAGATTATTTAGCAGTTATGGTGCCTGCTGGTTGGCTGTATGATTTGCACGGGTGGATTCTTTAAAATCTTTTTCCACTTTGCCGTATCACTGCTGCTACTTCACCCTGGTCAAGAAGGGGCAGACATATGTAGAGAGACTGACAAAAGAACATAAATGCTCATTTTGAAATGCTAAGTTTAAAAAATCAATACTTCTGGAGTATTTGTGGGCCAATCATATTCTAAAATATCATGTCACTTTTAAATCACTTAAACGGTTTCAGAAATATTATCTAAAAGTTGATTTTCCGTAAATGCATTGAAGCATTTAAAGAATTTACTCCATGAAGACATTCACAAGTTCCAGAAATCTAATTCACGCGTACAACAAAATAGCACTGCTGTACATTATTGCTACAGTGCGAAGGTACATATCAATTTCTTACTCACCGCAAATAGGTGAGCCCGGTAACAGCTCATACGGCTTAATGCATCACTCTATTGATCTTTTCCATTTCATCTATTCTGTATCTACAACGAAGAGTTCTTTGCGAAAACAGGAAATACTCAAGAGAAGTCTGCTAAATGACCAAGAGGGTAGTATGAGGCAGAGAGTTTGACGTGACCTGCATACACGTAGAATTGTTCTTCTGTATGATAAAAGACACGTACTGTGATTAATGAAGTGATTTTTTTAACATCTTTATTCTCAAGAGGGTTAAATATTGATACAGTATAAATAAAGGTGGCAATTCGCCTAGGCATTATATGCTCACCTTTGAAATTTAATAATAATAATAATAATAATAATAATAATAATAATAATCAAGAAAAAGACGGTGACGAGGACATGAGTGGCATTAGAGGGGAGTGAGGGGCAGGGCATGGGGGAAAGGTAATTATGAAGTGATGACAATGAAGAAATTCATGTGAGAACCAAGTGGGAGGAAACAGATGTAGGCTTATAGCGACTATGCAGAAACAACTTAATATGGCCTCATTTTAACATTAAACAGATCTGGGATGATAGAAATGTCAGGTAAAGCCCAGTAAGATACAACAAGTTATGAAAGCCGATGATAACACTGACATTGTGGAACTTACATATGATGTTGAACAATATACTGAAAATTACCGTTTGTATGTTACTGATATAATATCGTCCACATATACATGTATCTATCATGTATAAGGTTTCGAGTAAAACAAGATATGGCAGTTTGTGTTGGATAAATATATATTGACTTATCGATGAGAGTGAGGATTACTGATGACAATGTGCTGTGGATAGGAACGTTATAGATGAAGATGCTGGTGTCGATCAGGAGACGTTGACACGGGGCTGATGCATTTTTGCTACTCAGCGTTTCCAGGAAAAAGTAAAATGAAGGTGTGTTAATAGAATAGTGTGACTTACTTATCCCTAAAAAACAGAAAAAAACACTGCATTCGCACATGAAAAATCCTGATGAATCTACGAGGTGAAAAAAACACAGCTTTCAAACCAACATATCAGCTTTACAAGCGACGTTCAACTAGAAGACCTGTTTCTCCAGTACAGGTAAATTTCTCCCTCATACGATATATATATATGGCTTGATAAGAAACATGACACTAGCAGTTTGTATTTAAGATACTCTACCTTACAACGAGGGAGGGTAAGGTATACCAAGCTTGATATATTCTGTATGAATGTAAATAGGTTCTTATTTTATGATGAATGAACAAAGTTGTTATTTTAATTGTATTTGAAAATACACATGTACAAACGACAATGGAAGTTAGGACTTAGGATTTTACAAATCAAAAGGGGGAAGAAATATCAAATGCTTTTAAAAACGCTTCCGTGGTTTCAGAAAAGTGATTAAAATGAACATTAAACGTTGATTTTCCATAAATGTAGAGTTCCATTTGACACGTAAGATACATTTAATCTCGAATTTGATAGAACGTAGAAAGATGATTAAATGATTTAGTGGTTGAGGGTTTTATGGCCAACGTTTACCACAAAATGAAGTTTTCTGATCCAATTTCTTCATTAAATATGCGACGTATTTCCTATTCCAATCATATTTTACCTCAGCTCCTAAACGCTAATTAACATCTTCAGATGACACAGAATATACTGCAACATATGGCAGTAAAAACACAGATTTTACTACTAATGAATCATAACGTAGTGACTGGGGATGGGGAAAGATACGTACGCCAGGGCAAATAAATTAGCAACGCGCGTCTTTGTATAGCTAACACAAAACCATGAATCAGCTTGAACAAATATAGAATTGGTCAGAAATCGCAACAAAAAGGCATGATTTATAGTACAATAGAAATTACATGTACATTTCTTCGAAGGAAGATGTCTAAGCATATAACTATAACTCGAACTGAACATATTAATGATAAGATGTCACGCATGTGCAGTGTGGAATATACATGGGCGAAATAAGATTGAAAAAGTAAGACCTTACGTAATCTAACCACACAAAAATTTCTGCTTAAGACGGCTGAAACCCACATTAATTAAGCTAGAATGTCTTCAAAAATACTAAATATTTCAAACATTAGGTAAAATCACTGATTCAGAATCTATTTCAGGGTTCTTTGTGGTTTAATTAAGAAAGGCTTCTCGATTTTAGCGGATGGATCGAAGATTTTCTTAAGTCTCCTGAGGGGGGGGGGGTGAGGGATAACAACAAGACATCAATACTGAAGGATTGTTGATGTTGATTGTTGATGTGAGTGGACGAGGACAAAATATGAACACATTTGATGGTCCCCTCGTATGATTATATTTGTCTGATGTCTGGGATGACATTTAGTTTGCAGATTATAACTCACTGAGCAACAGACTTGTAATGTTGTGAGGCAGTGAAACTGATTGACTGAGAAAGAAAAGACGTGAGAATTGGCTAACTCAAATACATTAATCTATCATAAAATGAGTTTGACTAACATAAATCACTTTCGGACAGATCTTACTTTTCTGCTCCACACAGGGGTCACAGTTTACAAAATTTCTCTAATGTTCGAAAGTTTCTTTAATGTCTAGGACATTTTTGTAGATGAGCAATTTACGACTAAAATGTATTAGAATGAAACATTTTAACTTGATTTAGGCCCGTAGCTAGCAATTTCAAAAGGTTGTACCTTGAAAACAATTTACGCAGAACGGACCTTTTCCCGGCAAAAAGTGCGTTTTTTCGAACCCCCAAACCCGCCCAGGCTTTGGGCCTGATATTATTTAACTGTCATCGCCGAAGATCTCACCTGCACCAAAATGGCAAAGACCACCATAGCATGCTTTGAAATTCACTAAAAATTGAATAAGAGAGATATTAAATGGACCTTGCAGTTCTCCTCTCTCTCTTAGTTTCTTTATTTTTATTTGTAAAACCCACAACTCATCTGCATTTACCTACACACCTTGGTAGAACGCGCATGCTCACTCTCACTTTGCCAACGTGGAGAATTGCTACGTGCCCACCTTTAAAAGTTGTATAAATAAGAAGAACGAGACAAAGAGCGTCGCAGTTGGCATTTCTCCTTCTAGTCTGCTACACATTGGACAAGAAAAGATTCTCTTGAAGATGACAGGACAAGGTGGCCTGGCCGTGCTTCTGATCATCGCTTTGACAACGGTGACACCCGTTACTGGCGCGGGTCCCATCCCCCTTACTCCGGAGGAAGAGGCGCAAAGAGACGATGCTGCGGCTGATATGGCTAACCTTCCACCAGAGCATCAAATGGAACCTGAACTGCCCCCGGGTCCTATACGTAAGTTACAATTTTCACTAAAATTGCAAACTTGGCCGAATATGAAAATGGAGATTAATCGTTGATGACTTTAACCTACACATGTAGGTGTTGGCAAGAAAGTCATTTTGCTGCAACTTTTAATGAAGCACAGAGGTTTTAGGTGAATTTCCCTTGTTATTCCGATTTTAGAAAACCGTGAAGAGATAATATTGAATAACACCGTAAGTATACAAATTGACAGAATTGTCGTCTTCAAACATGATAAAGAAACTAGAAATCTGGGTAGATTGCGGATTCTCACACTTTTTCACAAGGAAAAGTTAGCGAAAGGGGTCAGCAGAGGGCTAGGTGGTACTGTATGACAAATAAGATGAATAGTTTGAAAGATATTGGGTTTACTTCTTTCGAACAGCTGTTCAAATCATCTATCATGCCCATGGGGGATTTGGTCACTATATTGGAGAACACAGATTTACACCAATATTAGCACTTCACGGTGAAGTCGGTTGGATGCCACTAGTTTACACTCAATGGATGTTCATAATTAGACACTGCAATAGATTAATAGCCATGGATAACAATAGACTTACCAAGAGATTGTTTGAGTACTTAGAGCTGGTACATGGGAAAGTAATCCAATTATACAAGGTGTTATGGAAAAACAATATTCTGAAAAAACCAACGCTAAGAACATATGTGCTTTTCGAACAAATCACTTACACCTTCAGTTGTAAGTGATTTGTTAAGCTATCTATGGGTAACGCCTTTAAAAAAAGTACTGTGCCAATTTAGATGCGGAATACTGCCGCTGAGGCTTCGTCCCGCCTTTGCAAATTGTGTGATAAGAACATGGTGGAGGATGACCTTCATTTTGTGTTGGTGTGTCCCCTATATGAGGACATACGATGTAAGATTCTGGGAGACTTGGACTGTAGTCATGATGACAGGGAAGATTTATATAAAATACTAATAGTCTTTTAAGATTGTAAAATTGAAAGTATACCTAAAGACGTGGCAATTTATTTAAATAACAGCTTTAGTTAAGGCAGTCAGCTCAAGAGTTGAGTGAACTATATTGTGTTTGCTTAGTTAAAACTTTCAACCTTAATCATATATATATTTTTTGTTTTTTATTTTATTTTATTTTTTTCTGTTTCTGATATATGTACAAAGTTCGGTGACTTGTAGGCCCATAAAGCCGGGTGATTTGTATATCTCTTTCACATGTCATGTTAATAAATAGATATTTATTATTCCAAGCAACACATTAGTGCAGTTTAATTGGCCCATTTTTATCTTGTGACTGCTATCAAGGGTGGATCCGAGCAGATGTTCTGCCAAAAACAGCTTTTGGATATCCTTTTTTGTAATATCTTTTTCAATACCGTTGTTAGTGAACGTGAATACTAAGGGGGTTTTCCGTGTCGCTATGTTTTTACATCACTTTTTATATCATCAGTTTTAATGAAAACATTTTTTCTTTTTTTTCTTTTGATGTATTGTTTCTTAAGTATCGGTTGCATTCACCTTTAATGATATAGATCATTTAATGCTGACTGTGGACCTTTAAAGGAGTGCTGGAAAGTATCCAAATTAGTGTTTTTCTGTAAATAAAGTTACCCCTGATCATTTCAGCGCCAATCCCGGGTTGTGAATGCCATGCGCATGGTGATGTCCGCTATGTTACGTGTGATGGGAATGCCTTCAGATTTAACACTCCGCCCTGGGTTGTAGGTATAATGGCAAAGACTGTACGTACCTTATTTTGGTATATAGTAACGTCACAGGAATTCTTTGATGGTGGTCCGAAGACTCGTCTGTCAGCAGTGAAATTCAAGATCTTTGGTCACTACGTGATCATCGAGTACAAAAAGACTATAGATCCAGATGGACTGTACAAAATAACGGTAAGTTTTCTCTTCCTCCTCTCTCCCCCTCCTCTACTCTCTGTCTGCCTTTCTCTCTCTCTCTCTCTCTCTCTCTCTCTCACCTTGTATACTGCTTTCAAAAGAAAAGAATTTTACCTTCATCCCATGGGCTATTTAGTTACAAAAAATTGTAATCGGTGTTTATATGGTTGACATATTGCATATGATGTCCAATTTATTCTTGTTATCACATAAATCCCCAGTAACGGAATGATAGCCAGTTTGTCTTTTTTCCTCTCCTTTTTTAATTATTAAGAGCAAAACCTTATATTTATTCTACTTCTATGAATTGATTTAGAATTGCTTAAGAATAATGATGACCATGAAATTGTTTATAAATAAGTTAATGTGGAGCGAAACGCCATTGCTGCATGCTTTAAATTTTTGTGTATGGTGGGAGAAGAAAACAGTGGCCACTGTATACACCACTGAAATGCAGATTTTTGTTTTGATTTTTTCCACCAATGTGTAGGGATTCCCAAGTCTGCACTCAGTTCAACTGACCGCTCTTGTTTGTTTGTTTGTTGGTTTCTTTGTTTGTTTGTTTGTTTGTCTGTTTGTTTGTTCATGAATATGACTATGAAGGGCATAGAAAATAATGAACGGATTTTGATGCCATTTTCAGGGTTGATCGCAAATAGCACAAGGAAGTAAGGTTAGAATTTTGTGATGATGCATGGATGAATAATAACGAATGACTGAACTGAATGTACAGAGTTTATAGAATTTTACAGGATAGGAAAGAAATCGGGCAATTTCTTATTTTTGTAAGGGGAGACCAGAAATGGATGAAGAAAGAAATAAGAAGATTCGGTAATGGTCCATTAATAAACAAATAAATAAATAAATAAATAAAATAATTTCTTTATTATTGGTCGTGGCAGAGGCTGCCCTATCTTTTCTAGTTATACATTTAATGGTTACTATTATGATAAGATAACACTATCGGAATTTTATTATCACTTCAGGTAAAAAATGCAATTGTACCTGGTCCGGTGATATTTGGTACTTCTGTAAGTCTTGGTCCCGGAACTGTAGAAACTGTATTGTACACGGGGAATGGTTTTAAGATCTCCATAATTAAGAAGGATGGCGATTTCTACATTGAGGTGCGCTGCACGTTCCTGCCACCCGTCCTGTTCGACATTTGGATACTGGTGGCCCGACATTGTCTCCAGATTTACATTCCTCCGATCTGGCAACCTTACATAGAAGGGATATGTGAAGATTGGGACGGAAATCCAAATAACGATGTTACGGATCTTGTCGCCTGGCCACAGGTAACACCTGCGCCGTATGACGGATTCCCTTAGCAGCTCACGACGCTGATGACGTAAGTGGATTTAATCTGGAATATGTTTTTATTATACCAACGAGATTGCTTAGTTACTCTCCTTCTCTCTCTCTCTCTCTCTTTCTCTCTCTCTTTGACACACACACACACACACACACACACACACACGTGGCAACCCCCAGGAAACGTTTTTCTTTCAAATAGTTTTTTTTCACACCCAACTTATCAGATTTAATTACATTAATTTTGTATCTTGATTTTTCAGCCTTTTGTTCTCCCTTACATAAATAATTTGCCTCTACCGAAACCATGATAGACATCGTCAAATATAAAATATTTGTCTCATTTTTCTTTTAAATCCAGGATGTTACTCGATGATCCATGACGTGATGACCAAAGAGCGACTACCACCAACTCTGTACAAACTGTGTCTTCTTTCTCCAGTCAGTGACGTGTATGTGGAACACGGGAAGCGCTGGACGCCATTCCATGTTTCACAGCCGTCGACTTGGGTTACTACGGACCATGTCACAAACTTTTGAAACCCTTTTCCAAGGGAATCTTTCTATCTTTTGACTTACAGAATTGAGAAAAGCTGATAATTTGATTTTCTCACTTATTGTTATTTGGTGAACGTCCATTGGAGAGTCGAAAATCCACAAAGGAACATAAATCATGGACAATGAAACTGAAATTTGTGGGGGTGCACGCTACCCTTTCGGTTCTACGATAACTATTCTATTTGTTTTTTTAATTTTGACATTGATCGAGGTTTTTAATGCCTTGAAGTGCAAATTCTTGCATGTGGGTTTTTGTACAGAGGTTGAATTTATTTTGCCGTATCAGGTATATGACATTATTTCGAGGAAGTAAACAAATTCTGGAAAATCTCCGAACACAAGACTGACCATGACAGAGAAAAACACATTTGGCCTTTAAAACAAACGCAATATGTCACAAAAGAAAGTAGCACTTATAATATTCACAAGTTTTGTTTGAAGTACAGTGGAAACGTGATTTTAATTGGGCACGTCGTAGTATGCCTTCAAAATGTATTTATCGTTAAATTTTTGCTTTATATTTCTCTTGAATTCGTTTCGCTGTGCTTGTGGCTTAAAATCGTTATTAAATGGTATCAATGATATCAAATATCTGTAGTTTGTTTTAATTCTGTTAAAGAGGAAATATAAGAAAGGTTGATTGCATTTAATCACGCCGTGGCTAAATCATTCACGTTGCCCAGGAGAGAAGTTTTTTTTTCTTTTTTTCTAATAATCGTAATCGACTGTTAGTTATATTCTTATCGTCGTTGCCAAGGAGAAATCATTCTTGAAAAAAAGGGAAGGGTGTTAATTGTAGCTGAAGGGTGCAGTAATGCCTGAATCTAGCCCTACCAAAAGGCCGTAGGAAATCTGCTCTGTACCGCAGGATCGGACAATATAGCCTGCATGAAAATTGCAGGGTAACAGAAGTGGAAAGAAATCCTCATAAGACACCCAAATTTGTCGGTCCAACGAACTCACACTGCTCCTTCTAAATGCTTGTTTTCTTTATTGTAAATGCAAAGTAATTGCTACGGATACCGGCAAACAATAACGGGTTAAGTTGTATCAGGGGCAATGGAAGCTTACAGTTAAAACAGATCAAATAAGAGAATAAAACGCTGAGGAACAAAACCAGTCATAATTTTAAAACTTTTAGACCCTTTTTATTTAACATTCAGTTAAATCATTTCAAAGAGTCACAACCAACACATAGTTAGCTAAAAAAAGTTATTTTTAAAAATCAATACACAAAATAAATAGCAATATCTCAAAATGTATTTTTACAATATGTGGTGCTTGTTTAATAGCCAGACGCATGCCCCTCCCTCTCGATCACTGCTGGAATTACATTCGTGTGATTTCTGTATCTTTTCTGATTTACCGGGTGTATCTGCGTCAATATTTCCGATGCCTCCTGAATGCTTTCAACAAGTTGTTCTTTTTGGTGGGCGTAACGCGCGTACGTAAGTTGTCATCGGGGATTAAAAAGGAATACACGCTTAGATGATAGGTCAGCACGATTAAGTACTTCAGAATTAAAATGAACGCCCGTTGGCTGCAAACCACCCACTTCTCATCTTCTGTATTAACCAGACTTGGTTTTTAGTTTGCATATATGGTTCGGTACCTCAAGGATCATGGCTGGGTCCGTTGCTTTTTATCCTTATGATAAACGATTTACACCTACCTCCTGGTGAATCTCTTTGCCATAAGTATATGAATGGCATTGTTTCCGAGATCAGTAGACAATTTGATGAAAGCAAAATACAGGGACTAACACAGCATGGGACTGGTCTAGGACAAGCAATATGCGATGAAAAAGGAAAAAAACAAAACAAATGGCCATTTCATTTAAATGTAAGAAAGCAGACATCCCTAAGTTCGTGATTAACAAAGCATATGAAGCGTGCAGGCCTTACAACTGATGCCCTTGTATATTATCACCAGGCGGTCATAAGGCCAGTTTTAGAATATGCTGACCCTGTCTAGCACTTTAGGTTAACAGATGAACTGACTGCCCTGGTAGAAAAGTCCCAAGAAATAGCCCTTAAGATATTGCGTCCTGAACTTGAATATGACGCTGCTTGTGAACATAGTAAACTTGAACTACTGACTAAAAGACAGCTCAATGCATGCAAAAAATTGTTTATCAGAATATATAATGAATTGGACCATAAATTGCATTTACAACCAAAAATGTCAAATATTGATTAAAAGAACAGAAGGCATTCAAAAGACCTAGAATTAAAGTCAAAGATCAATGTGTGACTTTTTAAGCAGTGCGATATACATGTACAAGTTCCGAAATTGATAGACTTTTTTTCTTTTCTAACCTTGCATTTTGATTTAAATTTGTTCACACATGTCTTTTAATATTTATTTTTTTGCTTATTCACTAGTGGTTTTATTCTAGTATGATGCAAATTTGGTAATAATAATAATAATAATAATAATAATTATTATTATTATTATTATTATTATTATTATTATTATTATTATTATTAAAAGCCAAGCGGTCAACAATTGATCTTCACTGCAGCTATGGAAAAAAAACAATCATTTAACTAGACGCATATCTTGGAATATTTGGTGAAAAATCAATTTGTGGCTCTGGTAGAGGGTGTTGAACATATGTATACGTAGTTTCAATTTCATTATTATTTTTTTTTTTTTTTTTTTTTTTGTTGCACGCTCGTGACGCCCACCATAAAAGAACAACTTGTTGAAGGCATTTTAGAGACATGGGAAATAGTGATGCAGAAAAATGAAACAGATGTATGTGATTCCAACAGTGATCGAGATTGAAGGGAGTGCGTCTGGCTGTGGAACAAACACCACATGTTATAAGAAATATTTTGAGAAAATGTTATTTACTTAATGTGTTAAAATTTTAATAAGTCATTTTAGCTATGTATGTGTTGACCGCGCCTCTGTATAATGATTCTACTGGACGTTAAATAAAAGATCAGAAAGTTTTAATATTAAGACTGGTTTTGTTCTTTAGCGTTTATTTTATTTTTTTTTTTATTCCAGCTGCTTTTAATCTAGCCTTCCGTTGCAGCTTAAAAACTCGTTATTGTTTGCTCAGACCATAGCAATGTCTTTACATTAATGATTAAGAAAACTGGCATGAGGTCATTTTGAAGGAGCAGTGTGTGTTCGTTGGACTGACAAACTTGGGTGTCCTATGATGATTGCCTGGCGATCCTCGTACCTTGCAATTATCATTCAGGCTATATTGTCAGACAGTGCGGTACAGGGCAGGAAATTAGTGCGGCCTTTTGGTAAGGCTAGACTCTGGCAGCTCTGTGCCTGTCATCCCCCCCCCCCCACACACACACACACACATACACACACACACACACACACACACACACACTTACACACATACTCGCGCTTATTTTTATTAGAATGATTTCTTCCAAGCTCCTTGGCAACGACAGCAGTTAAGAATAGGAATCATGAGCGACTTAAATTAGTAAAACGCCGTTCTCTCCAGTGAATCATGAACTCACTTGACCACATACACATGCATCTTTGTGAAAAATAAGGAGGTGTGAATTTAATTCATTATTATTTTTTACCGCAAATTTTCTTCTTTATGGTGATTTCATCAAAGGTATGTCTTAAAATGAGGCTTAAAAGGTTTACTTTTTGCACATTAACATTTTTTCGTTTGATTTTGACATAAGCCTTTAACTGGCTGCGCACCGTTGAGTTTTTATTATTAAATTATAAGAACATCGTCCTGAGGGGAAGTGGGTATGCGAAACGACAAAAAAAAGAAGCATGTTGTCCGTCAAATTAGTATAGCACTGTTGCCGTCGTCTGTATTCATACATGTAACCCCCCTCTCCTCTACTAAGAGCCGACATAATGTTGCATCCTAGCCCACACCTACAAAAATACCGAGTCGGACTGAAAACCATGATGACATTGTATTGAAAGGGCCTATTTTATATTCGATGCTTTGGTTTTTAATTATAAAAAAACTTCAGAAGAATTATAAAAAAATATCAACGGAATTCCCTTACACTTCCCCTTGAAGAAAATTAAAACAAACTACAGGTATTTGATATCATTGATACCATTTAATAACGATTTTAAAGCCAAAAGCACGGAGAAACGAATTGAAGAGAAATATAAGTAAAAAATTATACCATTAAAACCCCCTGAAGCTATTGTCACTACATCGTACCCAATTTAAATCACGTTCCCACTGTACTTCACCAGGTGAACATCGTCAAACAAAACTTGTGAAAATTATTAAAATTACTAGAGGTAGTTTTTTTCTTTCGCGACATATTGCATCTGTTTTAAGTCCCAAATGTGTTCATCTCTGTCATGGACACTCTTGTGTTCGGAGATTTCTCCATATTTGTATACTTCCTCGAAATAATGTCATACACCTGTTACGGCAAAATGTTCAATTCAAACTCATTACAAAAAACCACATGCAAGAAGTTGCATTTCG